ATGGAAAAAAGCCTGAGACAGACGAATCTAATATTCATCAAAACTTCTCTTTCTAAAAACAATTCGGGCGCGATTTGAATACATGTTTATAGGACATTTTTTTGTTATTTTTGGATTTCACCAAGGTTGTCAAATCAAGAGTCCGTTATTCTCCACCTATAGGGTAACAGTCCGTCAAGTACAACGAATGAGCTTCAACATCCAATCAACAAATTTCAGCAACCAATACCTATGAAATTTTGAAAACTAGATATTGTCAAAGTATGAGATGACAGCTTGTCCTTGAAGCATTACCAGCTTATTGAATATTAAGAAATTACATAATTCAGTCAAAATTTAAAGAAATGTTTGATTTTTGAATAAAATTCATGTTTTAATTACTATTGTTTATTTTTTATTCATGTTTACATTATTTTCTTCAATTGATATGCGATTTTACTGATTTAACATCACCTCCCGTGTTTTTTTTTCCTATAAACCTCTTGCAGATAGCCATTATACACCTACTTGATGACAGCCTCTACCAATCGAGTGTACTTTTGCAATACTTTGCCTTCTACCCAAAGAAATTCAAGGATATAATATATATATCTTGAGACGAAATATATATTTGTATATATATATATATATATATATATATATATATTGTTTTCGGTTTAAATTGAGGAATATTGGGTTGATAAAATTGTTGTTCAATCAGTGGCATTCATTTTAACATAAATCTTAAGGCATCTATTTTACTGAGTAGAAGCTGTGGTACAGTACTGCGTCTTGCTCCGTTGTCCAAAATGCGTTTCATGGTACTCTCATCTTTTATTTTGCAGTTCGTCACTTGAATAAGTTGCATTAAAGTATACAATATTTGGCGTTGCTTTTGAAAAGTATTACTGTTTAACTTCTGGAAAAGATACTTTTTCATACTGAAGTTTAGAGGACAAACTCTGGTAAGACTTGAAATCACCCAGTCTTATTTTTACGGCTTGTGGCTGATAACTTTAAGAAAAACACTAATAAGCGAGAGCGGGCTGTAATATTCCACTTTGCTAAGTACTCTTTCTCTTGCACTGTGAACAGAATACTCCCTGGAATGGAGTAATTCATAGTTCTTTCTCTGCAAAAGAAACTGTGTGATAGCAAACGAAATTATATAGTTCCTGTTTTGAGGTACACAGCTCCATAGGATTAAATTCTTTATGTTCGGATAATCGCTCCTCACATTCGACAAAATTTTACAAAGAACACTTGCGATAACTCTACCTTTTCCAATAAGATTTTCACTCCAAATTGTAGAATGTACTTGCTTATTCAACGACAAATGCGCCAACATAGAACTTCTTTGTTGCACAACTTTGGAGTAAAATTAAAATATCAAGATCATTACGTCCTATGGAGAACATGAACTTTGTAATTTATAAGATATAATACTGCGCATAGTTTTATGAAATAGTGTCCTATATTTTCGTAGTAGAAAAACACAGAACTCTGGAATCCGAAACAATACAAAGCACAGTTGTGATATAATTTTGGTCGCATTTTTTCACAAAAGTAGCAAATTGTCACATAGAGGTTTATAACTCTAAGCCAGAGATATGCCTTGCAATCGAAACGACTTGTTTCGGTCTCATATTGTACAGAATTTGATTGGTTCTCAAAAGTAATAAAAAATCTCTAAAAAATATAACTTTTACTTTAGATTCCTGTAACTTTTTTATCGATTATTCTATTATAGAAGCTTATTTTACAAAAGGTCAGACAGGTTTATGGTGAATCATATTTTCATTGATTGTAGTAACAGCGGTAAACGAAACAGCCCAAAACCATGCATTTGTTTGAACGACATAACCTTCAAACCGCTAATGTATGTGAAAGATGTGGTTCAATGTCCTGCAGGAGATCATCTTTTGGATTAAAATATCCCACCTTCGGAAGTTTTTGCAAGGGTGATTTCTATGACGATTTGACCAAGCTATAAGTGCACCTGGTTCACTAAGCTCTGTTCCATGATGCGTCTGCGCTGTAGGTCTACAAAATCAACCCGTTAAGCTTCTAATTTTGTTAACCATTCTGTGTTGAGTCATTTTATTGTCTGGAGAATGATCTGTCAGAATAATTTTTTTCTATGTCCACCCAAGCAATTTCCGAATCCGATCCACACAGCGCTGTCATCATACCAGCTTCAGAATAAAAAATATCTCACACTTGTTACATGCTGCTATTAAGTTCTAGAAAGATGACTCTTGGGGCAAGCTGTTAGTCCAAACAGGTGATTAGTGTGCACCCAGTTTAAATTGAATGAGCAAGTAGCGATCCTTATTGTTATTGTAGAACATGCTAAGAGGTGTCCGTACCTCGTCGGCGCCAGCCTGTTCAATTATTTGGACAATCAATCAGCCACCATCCACTTTGTATTAGCTTCAAGAGCTACCTACAAATTACCTCCGACGCTTTAATGCCCTGATGAGTCTGCACGAACTAGCTCTGCGCTGTGTTTGTGTTTGCGTGGTAAACTGGTTACATACGAGTATATTCAATACTGTATTTGAAGGCGATATTTGGCCTTTGTATTCTTATCATATTATAGGTGTAAGCATTATTAATTTTTTATTTGTAGTGGACCGGCCGGTAAAAGGAGCTAGCAGTACTCAAGATGCCAGTTAAGCAAGTTCCAGACAATTGCTGAAAATGGTGAAGATCTTTGTGGGTTGCGGTTTAAGCTGAATAGAAGCAGATCGATAAATGCTAATATATTGTGAAATAATTACTTCTATTAATTAGATCATAGGGCTTGATATACTATTGACATTTGCAATTCGAAATAAAATGTACCTGAGCATCAAGCTGGGCAGTTGTGAGGCATTTATGATCTTTTTCATTCCACTTGTTCTCTCCCTATCTCTCTCTCGCTCAGTCCCAATCTGAGATTTGTTAGAAGACTTGTATACCTAATATAATGATTCCAGAGTAGGAAACACATCCAAGAATAACAAAAAAATGTCCTGTAAACATGTATTCAAACCGCGCCCGAATTGTTTTTTCAAAAGAGCATTTTTGATGAATATTAGATTCATCTGTCTCAGGCTTTTTTCCAAATTCCCAACTGCTAATGTGCTAAAGACTTGTGTGACCGAAGAACCTTGGCTTATAGTTCAACTATTACTATTCTGGAGTGGCTATTTCTCTTGTAATTCTTTCCGAGTTAACCAGCCAGTAAGAAAAATCAAAAACACTATACCTACAATGGAGAAATTAGTAACGCATTTGCTCATACTCGATAGATAATGATGAAAATCATTTTAATTGACAACTTATGTGGAAAAAATGTTTAAGAAGGGTGTTTACGCCTCAAAACTTTCCTCCATGTGTGTATTAATACTTGTTTCCACATCAAGCGCATGCGCGACGAGACAGAGAGGCCGATAGGACGCCATTGCAATGAAGGAGAGAGACGTCACTTGTGCAATCTTCGAGAATAAACACGCATTCCTTTGAGCGGGTGTTTCCTTCATAAGCCACCGTTCATCAGTAGCAAAACACAAAACACGTTGGTCCTTCGATCTTGGATATACATCAGTGCCGTGAATTCCCTGAGAAAACGAAACACCTTGGAGAAACAGCCAAATTTAGACGTGAGGTTAGTTGTGCGTTCCCTTCGAAAATTCCAAGATAACCTACAAGCTACAAATTACATCGAGATAACGCAGTGAGCTCATTCCTTTCATACACTCCATACTTAGCAAAGGCCTAGCTGCTTATTTTCATGCATATTCATTCATATCCTTAATTCATATCTCACTTAACGGTGCATATCACTTATATCTCAATTTACACATACTTGTGTGGATTACTTTAAGCTTTATACTTACATTTCTTACGCGTACCTTCTTGTGCGTGTCTTTCTTGCTTGCCTTTGGGCATTTTATAAACATGGAAGATTCAACTCTTCGACAGCTTATCCGTAAACGAGGTGCATTCAAAGAATAACTTACATTGTTCAAAAAATATATTTCTCAGCCAAAGGAGGCGATACAAGATGTTCCTTTGCAGACTTTAGACAAATCTATCATTGAATTGGATTTAAGGGTAGAGAAATACGAGAAAATGTTTCAAGACTTTGAGAATGTGCAATCTGACATTGAATCTACTTCAGACGATTTCGATGCTCAGTAACAAGAGAGCGAAAACTTTGAATCAGTTTATTACAGCCTTATGTCAGCTTGCAAGAAAATAATTTCGGATTATTACACCGTAAACAGTGGCGTATCGGACATGGGTTCTGTCAGATTCCCTGCAGCCCCATCTATCAAAATCCTCGAAAATACGCATTCTAACCAGTTTAATGTCGAATTACCTGAGATAAAATTGTCCAAATTCTCCGGTAGTTATGAAAACTGGCTGATAAACCACAATAGTTCAATAAATGACATCCAATGATATCATTATCTGCGTTCAGCTCTAGAGGGTGGTGCAGCACAAGTCTCCTCTTGCAGACTAAAACACACAACTCAACGACGATATTTTTGCAAGAGGAAACTACCATTTGAATGAGGTATTAATCAGGGATGTAATCTCGCATCCGCCTGTCAAAATATTCTGATCCGGTTTTTTGCCTAATCTGATTTAACGAATCTATATGTTGGCAGAACCAAAATCACGTCTAAAATTTTCTACGCAATTCCAAAAGTTATTTTCGATCGATACAGTTTCTTGGGTTCCCTGGGTCATTCTAAATAAAAAGGGCTCTTTATAAACTTTTCGCTTAAGTTGATAGTTTTCGAGATATAAGCGCCGATGAGAAAGAAGATGGAATTGTTTGTTAGCTAGGTGTTACTGATCAGTTGGGAGCTCTCTTATGAAGAGCAAAAAATATTTCTTAGGTCTGAATATATAATCCAGCTCCTTTCCAGCAGCTGATGCGATTATCGAGACGTGTTCTAATTGCTCTTAATTACGACATTTTTGACATCGACAAAATCCTCTCTGATGACAATATCAATGTCATCATTATTATGGCGAAACTTTTTGTCAAGTTAGGTGTACGGCTCGATCGTACGAAGTCTCATCGATCACTCGGGTAAGTCATACGTTGCAGCATATATTTTTCCAGTTTACCCATTTCTATTAGAAGCATTTTCTTTGAAGGTTTTCCTCCTCACGTCGCATCCAATTTCCGTGAGGCTTTAACGTCATTCCGATCTTGGCTCTCGACATGTGCTGCTCTGTTCAATGTGCTAATTCTCCGTTTGCCGCCGCCGCCGCTTTTTGGGTACCTGCGGACGTGGTGAGACCGAATTACCTTTTCACTTTAATTACGTGTTCTCCAGGGATACATTACACTGTTGTTCGGAAAGTTTCGACGAGACACGTTTATTTAACGTCATGTACGTGTCAAAATGGCGCCAGGTGTATTGGGCTCTCAGACACTGTGGACAAATGAGGAAAGTTTAAGATTATAAAAATAATAATAATGTCTTTATTATTTTGAGGATGCCAATATAAAATTCTAATTATATTTGAATTAGATAATCAGTCTCACCATATAACTTACACACCTCGTATAGTGAGAGGAGCGAAGCTCGGCACATCCGAATATATATATATATATATATATAGGGTTGTCCAAAACGGACGCAGGAAAGTAAACGCATATTAAAACAAGAAAGATTGATATTCAAATCAAGTTGGGTAATTTATTTTGAAGGTTAATTTATACCATTTATGTATGAAAAATAATATCGCTCAAATGTTCACCACGACTGGATTTACAGATGTCCACGCGATGGTCGAAATTTTCAATGACATTTTGCAACATGGTCGGTTCTATGGCATTTATCTCGGCAATAATGTTGTTTTTGAGTTCTTGGAGGGTGGCTGGTTTGTTGACGTAGACGTTGCTGTTCAAATATCCCCATAAAAAGAAGTCCAAGGAGTCAAATCGCACGATCTTGGTAGCCATGGCACATTTCCTCTGCGCGAAATCACGCGATCACCGAAAAAGAACTGCAATCGATGGATATTGACGTTGGTTGTGTGGCATGTTGCACCGTCTTGATGGAAATAAACATCGTCCATATCCATTCCTTCAAGTTGCGGCAAAAAATAGTCCTCTATCATCACGTGATATCGCTCAGAATATACGGTAACGGCGTCCCCGGCCGCATTTTCGAAAAAGTAAGACCCGATGATGCCTTTTGAGCACAATGCACACCACACAGTCACTTTTTGAGGATGCATCGGCTGCTCTTGATACTCACGGGGATTTTCGTTAGCCTAGATGCGGCAGTTTTGCTTGTTTACCATCCCATTCAAAGTGAAATGCGCTTCGTCGCTGAACATGATTTTTGATGAAAAATTGGCATCAATTTTTGCACCATTTTTGTAGTGCCCTTGAATAACTTCATCAATGGTAAACATTCAACTAACAAAATGACGTGTCGGTGACAGAAAACAAAGATGGCGACTATGTCAAATTGACGTTTACTTTCCTGCGTCCCTATTGGACAACCCTTTATATTGGGATCAAACACCGATTTCGGCCAATGGTCGAAAAAAACGACCTGAACGCGTTGTGGCCACCAGCATATTGCCGATGTCCGAAAAATCGCTTCCTGGCCGTTTAGTATAGATCAAAATGCGTTCTGGCTATCGTCATATTGCCAGAACGCGTCGAGCATACAAACAAAGCGTCCAAAACCCGATTTTCTACGAGTCTAAGCTTGTATCGAATCGAAACCACCCTACTGTCTACTACTCGCAGTAAATGATCATCGCGTAGTCGATGTACGTCGCGTCGGTTAACCTGTTCGTTGAGCCGTGCAAGAAGTCTACTAGTGCCATGGAAAACCTGAAGTTACGTTTTAATGATGATCTGCAAAAATTCATATGTGACAGCAATGATCGTAGTAGTATTTTTACAAGAGAAAGATACGATCAAATACTTACAGAGGTAAAGGAAGCAGAAGCTTGCAAAAGTAGCGGTGACACAATTTCTTCGAAACAAAGGCGACGATTGAAAAGGTACGATATTTTAAAAATTGGTGAAACCGAGAAGCTGATAGAGGGAAGGGCGGCCGAAACTGCTGAGCTGCGTTATTTCTGCACGACCGACGAATTATTTGATATCATCCATTGCGCTCAAGTAGGGGTAGGCCATAAGAGATTACGAGGTTGTCATTTTTGCAGTTTTTTAAAAGCTTTTATTCAACTTCACTGCCGTGTAGTCTGTCTATCTGTCTGTCTCTCTGTCTCTATGTCCGTGGCATTTTCAATTCTTGGAAATCGATTTTGACTAACTTCTAATTGTCCGATTGTCTTGAAATTTGGTATGTACGTATTATAATTCCGGTAACAATATAATATTACGATATTTTTAAATTTCGACCTCCCCCCCTGCAAGGGTAGTGGTGGGGAGTATTACTGAATTTTGTCCGATTTCGTTCAAATTTGGTATGTAGGGGGTTTCGGGGATGGGAATTTTGAATTCTTAGTCAGATTTGAGAAATTTAATATGGCGGATTCAAATATGTCAAGCCGATTTTAAGTGACTAGTCAATTGTTGTTTATACACGTTTGGTTTGGATGACAATGCATGTTGAAGAGGTACAAATTCAACACTAAAAAGTAGAAGATACAATTATTTTTTACTTCTGCGTTCGTTTCTCATTCCAACTGTGCGTTGAATAAAAGCGTCTACTTAAAAAAAATGTTTTATTTTTTTTCTGCGAAAATAAGGTTTAATTATATTTTATTTATTTCAGTTATGGATTCTGAAGTAAAGAGGAAATATTGTAACATAACACGGCAAATAATTGAGATTTATTTATTACTTTGCAAGCAGTGTCAATTAAAGAAGAAAGTGCAACGAAAAGGTTTAGTGGTGAGGCCAATTTTAACAAATGAAATGAATTCGCGCTGTCAATTGACATGCAGAGTGAACCAGATCAAGATTTTCGTTACATCCTCAATTATCAGGATCATTTAACAAAATTTACCGTGCTACGAGCATTAAAAACAAAGACAGCTGAAGAAGTTGCCTATCATTTATTAGATATTTTTTGTTTGTTCGGCGCACCTATGATTTTGCAAAGTGACAGAGAGTTTGCCAACTGCATCGTAAACAATCTTGCTGAAATGTGGTCAGGATTAAAAATGGTTCATGGAAAGCCTCGCCATTCGCAAAGTCAAGGGCCCGTAGGAAGATCGAACCAAGATGTAAGAGACTTGCTGGTTACATGGTTGGCTGACCAAAATACAACAAAATGGTCTGAAGGGCTGCGTTTTGTGCAAAGCAATAAAAATCGTTCTCTGCATACAGGAATAACTAAAAGTCCTCATGAAGCTATGTTTGATACGCCTCAAAAGATTGGTCTTCAAGATTCACACTCTAAGGAACTCTTGTCCAATCCTGAAACAGAAGAAGAACTACAAAAGTTGTGCGATTAGAAGAATTCAGACGAATGTGAAGGTGGATATTTGCCACCAGTTGAGAAATAAGTTTGATAAACAGAAGGAATATCGATGTTGAACAATAAGAAAAAAATGTATGTACAATATGTGAACAAAAAATTTCAGATACTCATAGATGTTCAGATGTTACTTACCTATTCACGTTATCTGCGGGAAAGCTGACGAAGGAGATAGACAAGGTGAGCAAAGCATTATATGTAACCGATGCTTACGAAGTGACATCATAAATAATGTACGCGATGAGGCTAAGGGTGGACTGGAAAAGCAAGCCGAGAAAATGATTGCCCTTTCGAATTCAAAGTTACCACCCATTGATGTAGGAAGAACTGTCATTTTACGAGTACCTGATGTTGACAGAGGTAGACTGGCCCTGAGAAATGTGCTAGCTGTTGTTCTCAATATTAATGACTCTGGACTTTACCAGCTTGGTAGGTAAGAGATGCAGATCAACTATTTAACATAATGTTCAATATATTTTCAGGAACGAAAGATGGAACTTTGCAGTCACTTTATTGCCGTAATGAATTTACATTAGCCGACTCCGACTTTATTGATATTTCGTCAGTTCCGTCAACGTCTGTGTCCCTCCGATCTACTTCTCGTTTAGCATCTGGATCGAAACAGGCTTTATACAGTGTAATTGCAAACGATATTGCATCGACAAAAAATCCGCATGTAGAGCCAAGACAGTAGTATGTAACAGCAAATATGTCACAACAATAGTTCGTGTAAAAATAAGTAGATGTAGGTATGCCGATACCCTTAAAGCACAAGTTATTATACAGTAAATGTTTTCTGTTTCTGCTAAAACTGAAGTTATTTATTTATTTTTTATTTTGAAACTTGTTATATAAGCAATCAAATATATTTTTTTATATTAAATTGGCCTTTGGACGTTTTTTTTTATATGCTCGACGCATTCTGGCAATATGACGATAGCCAGAACGCATTTTGATCTATACTAAACGGCCAGAAAGCGATTTTTCGGACATTGGCAATATGCTGGTGGCCAGAACGCGTTCTGGTCGTTTTTTTCGACCATTGGACGAAATCAGTGTTTGAACCTAATATATATACATATATATATATATATATATATATATATATATAGAGAAAATGATCATTCCGAGAAAGGTATATAACAAAAAATAGGAAAATAATGGGCAAAATCCGCAAAAAGAAGGAAAGTGGATTCGAGCAGAAAATGGGATAGGTAACCCGAGCGATACGTATTTCTGCTGGTTGGCTTCATCAGGCCCGAAGTGAATGCACATATGTAACTACAAAAGCAGATACACATGTCCATACATCAGAATACGGGTGTAACCTGAGGAAACAAAGATGAAGAGGAAAAAAATCACACACGAAGTCCTTTTTGCGGATTTTGCTCACTATCTTCCTATTTTTTTTTTATATATCTTTCTCCGCATGATCATTTTCTCTTTGTAGATCCTTTGAGCTTGAAGTATCACAGCAAGTGGCTATAACCGGCTGCGTGGATGTGGTTAGATGTCTCCTTGAAAATTCGAGGTCCTCTAGCCATTTTATACTACAATGTGTAGGTTTACTAATCTAGGGATGTTTAATCTCAATTTTTCGCAGTTCTAAAAACTGCATAAATGACGCTAAGTTGCTTGACATCTGCTGTCTTTGTTTATGCAATTGTAAGTCATAGGGATGTGAGACATTTCTAGGAATAAACGTTTAGATAGATGGTCTTCTCTGTCAAGGACCTTAATGTTACTATATCCCATTGAATGCCCTATAGTGTTAACATGTGAGGCGAAAGCACATATTTCTGTATGAAGTCTAGAATCACTTATAAACTTATGCGAGGTAGCTCTACCTTTAAGCGATCTATATGTTTGACCTATATATGTGAGATTTCGGTTATTGCAGTTGATGCAATAAACAATATTGGATAGGCTAAGCAGATGAACTTTATCTTACATTTTGGAGAAGACATTGTTGATTGTGAGGGACGATTTGTAAGCTGTAACTGTGCAACACTTTAAATTGTCGTATGGTTGGCTGTCTTCTTTTCTTGGTCGGACTGATGAAGGCATCTCATTTTGTTTTGACCTGTTCAATGAGGCCAGCAGATCCCTCTGCATTCTGCCCGAATCGTCAGTCACTTAGCGTACACTGCTATTGAACGGGAACTGCGACTGTTCCAACTAATAGCAGCGGTACGCGATTTACGATGGTTCGATTCTGGTGCGATAGATGGCGCTTCGCGCTGTCTCATGCTGACAAATCGCACCTCCGGTATAAAGGATCAATGTGATGCTTTCGTTTCTTCGTCCACAGATAAGAGCCAATCCTATGCCATGCTGATGAGTAGCTAAGAAGCACGAAACAGATGTCCATGGTTGGCGGCCTTCTTTTCTTGGTCGAACAGATGAAGGCATCTCATTTTGTTTTGACCTGTTCAATGAGGCTTGCAAATCCTTCTGCATTCTGACAGCGATTCAGCGGCACTGCTATTGAACGGGAACTGCGACGGTTCCAACTAATAGCAGCGGTAGGCGATTTACAATGGTTCGATTCTGGTATGATAGATGGCGCTTCGCGCTATCTCATGCTGAAAAACCGCACCTCTGGTATAGAGGATCCATGTGATGCTTTCTCTTGGTCGAACCGACGAAGGCATCTCATTTTGTTTTGACCTAAACCTTTTTTGTTGTGAAAATACGAGAAAATAAGATTTTTCGGTTAATTGCTGTAGCACAAAAAAAGTAATGATTAGATATTTTCCGAAATAGTGCTGTAAGTGGTGCACTCTAGAAGTTTTGCTATAAAAAAACAACGGATTCTTGTTTCTCATACTGGAAAACCTCCCTATACCGAGTTTTATGCCAAAATCTGCAAAATCAAGCAATAAGGAAAAATAGAAAATAAAGTCGTAACTCTGACTCCATGGCATGTCGATTTGACTGAAGCTGAATCGATCATCAGTGTAACGATTTTTTCTATAATGCTCAATCATTTCAGTGCATGAAGAAATGGTATTGTTGCAGAAGTAATTATTGATCTCAGCTGGCTCTCTTAAATGCAAAGGAACATCATTGTTTTATGGTTGTTGGATATGCATAGATTTTAAGGCTCTGTAAAACATTTTTGAATTGTTTTGTTGACGGAGGGATGATAGATAGGTTGTTTTCTCACATCTAATTTTTGTTAATGTTGAATTTTTAATATTCTTATAGCGATTCCAAAATTCTTCAGTCGTATGAATTTTAAACCGTGTAAGAGATCTATCCCTATCTTTCATCATATGTTTAATTTGGGCTGTGAGCCAGGGTGTTCGTGGCTTGTTTACACGTACGATTCTTACTGCCGCATGTCTATCAAAAAATAAATTTCAGTCCGTCAGTTAAATATGAAATTTTGTTATCAATGTCGTCCAGAGAATATAAAATGTCCCAAGGAACCTTAAAACATCATTTTAAAAATTAGTCATTAAAAATTTTCTAAATCTCTATATTTAACAAATTTTGGCTTTGAGTTTTTTATCTGCAAAACTGTTTCACAATAAATTACTGGAGCTACCAGTTACTCTAGAGGATTCATTAATAATTTGATGGAATCCAAATGCATCGAAGCAATTTTGTAATTTGTTGTCTGGATTTAAAAGATTTACATTCAAATCTTCCACAACAACAATATAATCAAAGCTGGGAATCAGAAAATATAGTGAATTGTCAAAAAAATCAATAAAATCATTAATATTATTGTACGGAGGAGTTACCCCAAAAGCTCGACTAAGGGCCAATTTCACCAACATTAATATTTAACGGTCCCTAGCTGTTAAATTTAATAGCAGGTTTGAACGTTTGTTAATGCATGGCAATCTTGAAGTTCAATATACTGAGTGTTTATATGTTATCATTATAGCTACATACCTATTGAATAGTGTGGATTTGTCTGTATTTTGCAAGAAAATAGAATACAAAATACATTCCAACCAATTCCTCATCTTCCTTTACATCATTTATTATTAATTTATGGGTTAACGAATTTCTTCAAAGCAAAAACATTGTCCTATCCAAAAAACAGATAATATGTGTAAGACGTGTCAATCCCTACATCTCCGTAATGCATAATGCAATTACTATGGACACAAAAACATTATGAAAAATTTCTCACAAATAATGTATTTTAAGTCAAAAAATCATAAAAACTAGTAATGTTTATTGTCTGATTGCCTCTTTTACTGGCGGGGATATCTATCTGTCACTCGCAGGGTTGCCAAGTCTAACGACGTTCACGTCCGTGGTGGAGGGTGCGAAATGAACCTTTTACATTTTCTGGTTTTGAATTTGAAGTAGGAACGCAAACGTAGTACTTTGATAGTTGGAGCTAGACTGATAACACTTCTTGAAGAATATTTGAAAAAAGTGAACACCATCATGGTCTGTTGTATCTTCAAATTGCAAATGAAGTACTTACGTGAAGTGCTTGCCACGATCTTTGCTGCCAACTCCGCCATGGATGCCCCCCAAACAAAGCTTCTGGTCCGGACTTGACTGTACTGAAGAGATGTGCAGCGGAGCTTGCTCCAGTTCTTTCGCGTCTCTTCCAGATATCTTATGAATCCAGAAAACTGTAAATTTGCTCATGTCTATTCCATCCCAAAAAAGGATCAAAAACCGATCCTTACAACTACAGGCCTGTAGCTCTGCTTTCTGTTATAAGTAATGTGATGAGAGGTGCATCAATCGCGAGCTTCTGGACTATGTTGAATGTCTCGGCTTGATTAGCGATTGTGCAAGCTAATCCAGTATTATGGTGAGGCTTATGTCGTTGGTCTTGATATCACGAAAGCGTTCAATCAGTTGTGGCACGCTGCCCTCTTATGTAAACTCCCATCCCATGACCTCCCAGAAAAGCTTTGCAGATGGGTGGCTGACTTTCCCTCTGGCCGCAAGGTATCCGTCGTCATTGACGGGATCTCCTCTTCATCCCGCAAAGTCAACACGGGTGTTCCGCCTTGGCTCCGACACGGTTCTTCTTGCATATCAACCACCTCCTTCCCTGCACGATCAACCCAATCCACAGCTTTGCTGATGACAGCACTCTACATGCATGATTTCAGAGTGACAAGCCGATCTCTGCATCTGAGCTGGAAAAAAGAAGATTAGCGACGACTTGCTCTCTGACGAGAGACCTGGAGGTTATCACTGCTTGGGGACGCAACAATCTTGTACAGTGTAATGCTTTCAAAACACAGTACTGTACCTTGACGAACAAAGAGCGTACCCAGCGCTCATACGGTTCCGATGGATGGCCGAGTTATGCCAAAGAGCCGTTCGTTTCGGCTGATCGTAGTCCAGATCACCGAGGACTTGATCTGGCAGGAACACATCTTTTTAGCGGCAGCTGCTGGGAAAAAGCTAGGCTATTTTTTTAGGGCTAAGAAGTACTTCCGCATGACCTAACTCTATACAAGGCCCGTATTTTACAGTGTTTTGTTTTGAATACTTTGATGCTATTTGCTGCCAAAAATTTTACGGAGAGATCTTGAAGCTGATTGGGTATATTTAACGGACTGTTTGGTACTCGTATCCTATTGGTGCAGAATAATGGTTTGTTAAATTGTGAAATCCACCCTTAGACCACATAATTTCAATCTAATCCAGGTTTTCAACACTGGAAAAGTAACCAATATGATTTTCGATTTGAATTCCTTCACAAACCAAATCACCTCTTACGT